AGTGAATTTCCTCTAGTGGAAGCGTTCGGTACTGCAGCCAAACACACTCTCACTGAAAGCTCATTTTTTTGAGATATCAACCTCAAATTTCGAATTCAGCTTGTTTAAATTTATAGCTTTGATTTTCTCACAGTTTGAGTAAAATGTGTTTTGATGCATATATATTTGACAAAAAAATGAAAATGTTAATTTTGTGTATTTTTCATAACAATAAATGTAACATTTTATAACTTTCACTTTTTTGAAACGTTTTTCACTTCACCAATAAACTGCCAAGAGTCGTCTTTTAAAAAGAGACCAAACTTAAGTCGGGTAAGATTTATGACCATTTAAGTTGGAAATGTCATTTTCAGGTCAATGCTCAGTGAATAAATGGATTATAAAGAGTGCATAAATATAATTTAGTACCATAAAATCCCCTAATAATTGTTTTTTTTAAATAAAAAACATTATCGAACTAAAATATAGTACAATAATATCATTAAAATAAAAATTCTATAATTTTTTAAACCAGAGGTTTAATCATATCAGGCTTATTTTACGTCTTTTATAAAGTTGTGTCTGTTTATTTCAGGCTTATTGACCCACAGACACAAGTCACAAGACTACGGGTACGTCATTTAACAGTTTCGTTCACTGCTCATATTGGGTGTCCTGTGCTGTTCTGAGGTCAGTATTTGTTCTGTGGTTCCTCAGTTCTCTCTCTCCAGCGTCGTGCTGTGTGCGTCACATCAGGAGAACAAGCGCTTGTTTGGGTTCGTGTTGCAGACGGCGGGAGGACGAGTCGATGGACGGCCCGTTACCGTCTGCTACATCTTTGAGTCAAACAATGATGGAGAGAAGGTACAAAAACATGCATATAATCTCTCCCTTTTTATACTTTTATAAGCACATGTATATATATTTAATTAAAAAAATGTCACTTTTTTCTTGAATAAATCAGATCTGTGATAGTGTAGGACTCGCAAAGCAGATCGCCCTCCACTCTGAGATGGTGAGGAACATTTCAAACGACTGAAATGCATGTTGGGTGAAATGAAATTGATAATGCTGATGATTCTTGAGAATATTCATGGGGTTTTTTTCTGACAGGACCGAAAAGCCTCACAGAAACAGAGAGAGCTGAATAAAGCCAAGGAGAAACAACAGGAGGAACTGCATAAACAAAAACAGATCGAGAAGGTAAAAGACATTTACATTTATTTGATCAAAAATACTGTAAAAATGTGATATATTATTACAATTTACAATAGCTGTTTTCTATTTGAGTATGTCTTAAAGTATAATTTATTCCTGTGATCAAAGCTGTAATTTCAGCATCATTACTCTAGTCTGCAATGTCACATGATTCTTCTAATATGAAACATTTATGATTATTATCAGTGTTGATCAATTAAATTTTTCGATCAATTTAATGCATCTTTGATGAAAAACAGAAGTGTATATTTGAACAGATTTCATAAGTAAACTGTGGTCTCCAAACCTTCAGGATCTTGAGGAACAAAGTCGTTTGATCGCCGCCTCTAGCCGACCCACCCAAACAGCTGCTGACGGACAGGTCTTGGTCCTTAGCAACAGCCAATCAGAGGACAGCGACGTAGGAGAGGAGGGGCAGAAAAAGGGTGAATCGGAGGCCTGATAAGAACCGTTCTATTACATCACTTCCTGTTCCTCAAGGGTTCTCCAGAGCATTGATTTAATATCAAACTGCGGATTATATACACACACATAAGTGGACACTTTGGGGAAAACTCCTCAGAAGTTGTTATTTGTATGAATCCTGTATTTTTTACCATATCCGTTATCGAACTGCATTTTGCTTTTAGAGGGTTTTATATATGTATGTGAGTAAATGAATCCACTATCAGGACAAACCCCAACCTAACGAGACGATTCGTTGCTTTATTTCGATGAAGTGAATAACTGACGTGTAAAAGACATTAATATGGTATGTTGGCCTTCACTTTATGTTTTTACGGCTGCATGTGTTTCCGTTCCGGTGACAGACTTTCACAAAGATATCAATGATGTTTTATTGTAATTGTCAATCGTAATCGTCCTTAAATAGGAGGAGTAGTTCACTTTTAAAAACACTTTTGCTGATAATTTACTCGTCCCCATGTCATCCAAGATGTCCATGTCTTTCTTTCTTCAGTCGAAAAGAAATGAAGGTTTTTGATGAAAACATTCCAGGATTTTCTCCATATAATGGACTTCAATGGGGTCCAAATGAGAGTTTCAGTGCAGCTTCAAAGGGCTTTAAACGATTCCAGGCGATGAATAAGGGTCTTATCAAGCGAAACGAGCGGTCATTTAAAAAAAAAATTACAAAGTTTAAGTTTTATAAGCTCAAATGCTCGCCTTGCTCTGTTCTGTGATGTGCATTCGTGACTCTCCTGTTCAAACTGGTTTATCAAAATGAATTAATCTTTTGTCGTGTCATTTGGTTCACTCAACGAACGAAATGAACAAGTTGACTCGGGAAAAGATTTGTTCATTTTGGTGATCGTCTGGAATCGTTTAAAGCCCTTTGAACAGTTTGCACTGTAGCTTGAACCATTTGGTCCCCATTGAAGTCCATTATATGGAGAAAATCCTGGAATGTTTTCATCAAAAACCTTCATTTCTTTTCGACTGAAGAAAGAAAGACATGGAGGTGAGTAAATTATCAGCAAAAGTTTTTTCAAAAGTGAACTACTCCTTTAATTTTCTTCATGCAATATTTTGAGAGATTCACTACATAATGGGTTCAAAATTATTTAATACGGTTATATTATGTCTTTGCAGTTAATACGCTAATACAGTTCTGATTTTGTCTGTTGACATGATTCACAATGTTCTACATCTACAAACACACATCTGGTCAAGTTTTTCTGTATGAACACATTTTTTGCTCATCACATGATCAAATGGCTCTAGACTTGGGGTGTGCTGTATTCTTTTTGTATATCGGAGATATTGAAGAGTGCATTGCATCATTAATGTTTTATTGGTCCAGTATATGGGTTAAAAACGGTTGTGGAATTGCAAACTGAAATATTCATTATTTTTGTGGTGGAAGTTGCACAGAGCGCTACTGAATTAAATATCGTCTCATTCATTGATTTGGTTTTATTTGACAATTTGCTTCAATGAAAACCATCTTTGTGGTTCATAAACTGTCGAGACGTCAGAAAAACGCACTTTCTGTATCATTTTAATCCGTTTACTGAGTGTAAAGCGATTCGCTTCGTTTATTTTGTCGATTGTTTCTAACCTTTTGTCTAAATGTCTTTCTACAAAATCATGGGGTACAATGAAGACTGGTATTAAAATCTGTTTAAATAAGCTAATCCTTTTAGACTCCAGAATCTTTATTTTTTTTATGGATTTTTTTTTTTTAATTTATAAACTTCTTCAAATAATTGAACACACACACACACACAAAAAAAAATGTTAAACTTAATCCAAATATATTTCAAGTAATTTAGAGAGTTTTAAAAGTTGCTTTAAAGATTGAAATAAAATTCTTACATGCCACAAAACGTAACAAATCTAGATTTGTATAAATATAACTCAATCATGATCTAAATATTAATAATTCATCATCTTAATACGTTATTACAAACGTCATATTTAAAACCAGGAATGTTTAGGAAACATTTTTGTTGAATTTTTTTTGTATTTGATAAAAACAATATTATAGTTTTTTTTTTTTTAATTTCAGGGCTACTGAAGTGCAAATTAACATACTGAAATACTATATGGTTTCATTAGATAACATGAAATTTACTTTTCATTATAATCTCAATACATTTTAAGAACAAAAGCATCTGTTAGCATTAGTTAATGCACTGAAAACTAACATGAACATGTTTATTAACAAAGGATAATAAATGCTGTACAAAATATACTGCGCATTGCACTGTAAAAAAAAAAAGTAAGTAACCTGGTTGCCTTAAAAAAGTTCATTAAAATGGAAAAAAGCGAGTTAATACAATGAAGGAGAATGATTTAATCATCAGAAACTCAAAATAATATGTTATCTGAATTATCCAAGTTGATTTGACAAAAGAAAAAATGTTGTGATTACTAATCATGAAAATATGTCTTTTACAGTGTAGTTCATGTACCACTAAATATCATCTAATGCTCAAATTGTTCTCATCTAACCTTAAGGATCTGAAAACAACCTCAAAAAAAACTTCATAAAACTAAGAGTTGTGCATGTCTGGATTATCTCCGTAAAATAAAGAGTTAATTGCTTGTATTGTGTGTAAGGTGATCTTATTTTCATTTCTAATTGGTCTTCATTTGGTTTGCATTTAAACAAGTCTAATTGGTCATTTCTTTGCAAAACAATGGAGCCGCAGGGGCCGCGCTTGTGTCCCCGGAGCTCGCCAAGACAAATAAACAAGCCGGTCGTTTATTAAAAGCAGCCAAGCAACCGAAAGAGATCAATTGAGCCTTGAATGAGACAATTATGACATGCTGCTTCCAGCAAATTGCCATTCAGCTTTTGTGCTTTTGTGCTCCGGAGCATCTTTCTCCATGCATGTCAAGAGAGAATGGGAATATTCAGCAGGATTAGTTTAAACAGCATTAGGCTTTATTATTATTTTAAACTCGTGTGCTAGAAAATAAGGTAAATAAGATTAGGCACTAGTTGACTGCTTTCTCATAATGCTGGAGATGCGGCAGAAGGAAATGAGAAGAGGATAAATCCTGGGAACGGGGCCTAATTTTCTACCTGGTGAGTAAAAAGAAAGGCCCGTCAGCCGTGTTTTGTCCCGCTCAGAGGCAGCTTTAGGGGATTCGGTGTCTCCAGGAGATAACAGGTTGTGCTTCAGGTTGAACACTGAATTACCTGCAGTCGTCCAGGGGTCCCGCGGTGAGGCCCGGCGATTCACATGTAAAACACCCCGTCTCGGGCTGTAATTGGTGACGTTTGGGGGACTATAAGAGAGGAGGTGTAAAGGAGAAGCTCAAGCTTTCGGAGGGACTGTATCTGCACTCGGATCTCCAGATGGCGTCTCTCGCGGTCACTGCTCGTCAGGACGTCCCGATGAACAGACCGTCCTCGTTCACCATCGACAGCATCCTGGGACTGAACCGGCCGGACCAGAGAACTGCACTGTCAGCGCCTTACCGACCCTGGACAGGTGAGATGATAACAACACACCATATGCGCTAATGTGTTTTTGGGATGTGTGCAAAAATACATCAGGAAAATGTACATTGCATTTATAGTGCTGTCAAATAGATTTCTAACAAAAAATGTTGTGTTTATATATGTGTTTGACTTGATATGATATATACACCCTAAACAATGCTGGGTTGTTTTAACCCAAATTTGGGTCAAATATGTCATTTAAAACTTTCAACTGTACTTTTTTTAATTACATTTTTAACCCAACATTTGGGTTTGTCCATATTTGACCCAAATTTGGGTAAAAACAACCCAGCATTTTTTAGATTGCATACATAGCACTGATAGTGACAAATGATAAATCTACATAATTATCTACAATTAATGTTTATTTTCAAACATAACTGTGAATAATTTTAAATTGACGTAATCTATTTTGTATATTAAAAAAAAAAAAAATAAATAAAAAACATTTTCCATTGTTGTAAAAATAAATGTAATTTTTTGGATACAATTTTACTAACAATATTGGGGATAATTCATGTTAATGTTACTTAAAAAAATAAACGTATTAATTAACATTAGGAATAACAATAATCGAGGCGCGTTCCAGAAGTTTTACAACAAAGATAACTGACTGTTTACTGAACCGGTTCTCCGCTTGAATGAACCGATTCACTTAAACGAATCGCACTATCCCACTGATGGAGCGCACGAACTGTTTAAATGATATCATGTCTTTTATTTACCTCAGACGTGAAACCAGCATTCCAGAATCTTCTCGTGCTCACAGACAGCGAGGCTTCAGTGGACGTGAGAGTGAATGAAGATGGTAAATCCTACAGTAAATCACCAGCAGACACGTACAGGAAAACACTGAACTGGTACATCGGGCGCAGGCCGCGGACGGCGTTCTCTAGCTTTCAGGTAAACGCTGCTGACCTGCGCATGCGCTTTACTACTGTCTATGGTTTTAAATGTGTGTCCTGCTAACAAAATTGAACATTTTAACCCATTATGAAAACATTATTTTTTAATCTCCTCTGAACATTTTAGCCTTAAATATTTAAAAAAAAACCATGGTTAAGGAAACGTTCCACTTTATCATTTTGCAAACAAATTGGGTTTGAAACGTTACTTTTGAACGTTCTCTGAACATTCTGAAACGCTTTCAGAACGTTCCATGATGTATAATGTTTTTATGCGAACGTTATTCATTATAGATCAGATGGCTTTCAACGAACATTCTATTGACATCAATAGAAGAACTTTAGGTCATAACATTTTTAGAACGTTCAATGTTCTGTAGTGCTTTTCCTGTCAAAAGTTGTCAAATTCACAAAAATACAGTTATTTCTAACATTGGAATCCCAAAAATTAGTTAAAAAACGTTTCAGGATATAAATTTTAAAGGCTTAATACACTTAATAAATATATTAATGATGTTTTTTTTTTTCTTTTTCTATGTCCAGATCAAGATATTGGAGAGTGTGTTTCAAGTGAACTCATACCCGGGCATCGATATACGGGAAGAACTTGCTCAGAAACTTCACCTAGATGAGGACAGAATTCAGGTAAAGACTGATCTGATAATCAGTGGATCATTTGCTTTGACATATAGATATTGTAAATAATCAAGATAATTCATTTAGTATATTTTAGGATATCTGGATTAGTTCTAGGACTACAGATGCAGGACTAAACTGTTCAATCAAGTGTGTCAGAGATCTTTTATGAAGTTTGGATGTCTGACTGATGTTTTTATGTCTGTCTCTTAGATTTGGTTCCAGAACAGAAGAGCAAAGCTGAAGCGCTCGCACCGAGAGTCTCAGTTTCTCATGGTGAAAAACGTTCTTAATGATTTACAAACCAGCAGGGAAGAACACTGATGGCCGCTGAACCGCATTCACTCATATTATTTCTAATTTTATGTCTTTACCACACTTATGTAATTAAAAATTATCTCTCGCTATGATTTAAATGCTAAAGATTCTTGTTACTTCTTATTGTGTGTTTACTGGAAATGTAAAATAATAAAGTCATTATAAATACAATTTTAATCCAATACTTTCATTCAAACCTAAAGTCCAATTAAAACTCTTTCTCTTGTTCCAAGTGAACATTATCTCCTGCCAACTGTTAAGCAAACACACACACACCTCCCGCCAACACTAATGAGTGCTTTATAACTATAGGGCTCAGTAAACCTATTAAGTATTGATTGGGTCACACAGGGGGGTTTCACTGAGGGGGGCTTCAGATTTACATTTGAATCACTTTCAATAAAGCACTTGCAATGTTTTGCATGTAGTTTTTTTTAAAACTATAATAATATATTAGAATTGAATTGAATTGAATTGAATATAATACAGGCTAATATAATATATGCATGTTAATTTGCATGCATGTGTTGTGAACCTTTGAAAACACTTGGTGGCACTGTTGCATTCAGAAAAATAAAATTTGTAACAAAATAGTCTATTTTCTTTAATTTGGTAAAAAAATACCAATTTATTCTATTATTATCTTTGTCATTATATAATGTGTAATATTACAGTAATTTTCTCCCAGGACGAAAGAGACAAAACTGTATAATTTGTCCAGAATATTATATGTATATATATATATATATATATATATATATATATATATATGTTTTTTTTTTCAAAGGCCAATTGTTGGATATGTAGTAAAAACATTAAACATTGCCCTTAGAATGCCCTTATTTTGTTTAATTTGGTAAAAAAAAAACTACTAATTTATTCTATTATTATCTTTGTCATTATATAATGTGTAATAGTAATTTTCTCCCAGGACGAAAGAGACAAACTGTATAATTTGTCCAGAATATTATATGTATATATATATATATATATATATATTTATTTTTTTCAAAGGCCAATTGTTGGATATGTATTAAAAACATTAAACATTGCCCTTAGAAAATACAGTAATGGATCAAAACCTTTCATCAAAGTTTTACATGAATTTTGAACAAAACCCGTCCTTGTCTTCGGACAACTTTGTTGAACTTTCTTGATCCACTTCAAATGTTGACTATGTATGCTGGGCCTGCATTATGAATGCATTGCTGGTTTGATCTCTAAGAAGCAGCCTCTTTTGATCCGTGTCAGTAACAGAAGCGGAGCTGAAAGAGGATCTGGGTGTATCTGTGATGCACCAGATTCTTTGGCCTCCAGGTTTCTGTCTTTGATCTGAAACAGGATAGTTGGATGCACATTATGGCTGTTGGCTACAAGAGATGATGAGACAAACGTTCTGTCTTTCTTTCTCCCAGCATTTGAGACATTGCCAGCAATATCATCAGGTCTGCATAGAAACCAATATTTTCCAAGTGATGCATATTTTGAAAAGAATGAAAAATAGTGTTTCTTGACTGCTAACACATAAAGCTATTGGTTCAAAACCCTAAAACCTTACTTCAACTCTCACCAAGTCTCTGGCACCTGTTCACATCCATATTTCATGTGTATTTGCTGGGTTTTGTGTATCATCTGAAACCAAGCTTTGATTTGAGGGAAGATAATATCACAAAACACAGAAGTTTGTGAAGTAAAAACACACAGAATTAGCCTACAATTGTGTCATTTTCAGATTATTTCTATTCAAGAAAACGGTTTATTCTTCCACATAATGTGTGGAAAATCGAGAGTAACGCATTCAACAAACAATAATAACCTATCCAGTGACCTCCTAACTTATACAGGTAACAGAGTATTCATATTTCACTAATGTGTCAATCTTCCACTATGATTACACACTCTTCTAACATACTTCAGATGTCTCGCGTGTTTCCAGCGTGTCATAACAGGGTGTGAATTAATCTCGAACCCTAACCCTTAAATTAAAATACAATGAAATGTGACAGTGTTTCTATCACTGTAAAAACAAACATGGTTTCATTATGAAATATGAAATAATCTGTCTAAGGGTACAGACACACATTGGTTATAATCAGATATACACATCACATTGGTTATAATAAGTCAAATATGGACAAACCCAAATGTTGAGTTAAAAATGCAATTAAAACATTTACAGTTGAAAGTGAAAGTTGAAATTTGGTTATAATTTGAAATTATATTTTTAACCCAACATTTGGATTTGTCCATATTTTACCCAAATTTGGGTCAAAACAACCCAGCACACATTATAATATACTAGCCTATAAGATGAATGATCTATTACATTTACAATAATGGATGCAACATGATAAGGTCATGTGCATACTGGCGTATAGGAACATGCATGGTTATATCAAATTGTAATTAAATAAAAATAATTTTGGATTATGAAGCACAGCACATAAATCAGGTAATCAGGTTATACCATAAATGTAGAACATATGCACACATGTAGCCTATTGTACAGTATGTTAATATGTGATACCAGAAAACCAGTCACTGAATTATACATGCAACATATGAATAAATAAATAAACTAAGATGACCGAAACTGGGATGAAATGATAATAAAAGTTAAAAATTTCTATTATGCTATATACAGTTAGCATAATACTGTTTGGAATGGCTGTATGCTGTTGTATGCTGCTGTCTCTCTCTCTCTCTCTCTCTCTCTCTCTCTCTCTCTATCACACACACACACACACACACACACACACACACACACACACACACACCACACACACACACACACACACACACACACACACACACACACACACACACACACACACAGAGAGAGAGAGAGAGAGAGAGAGAGAGAGAGAGAGAGAGAGAGAAGAGAGAGAGAGAGAGAGAGCTCCACCTTGTGTGGCTCGTGAACCTCCTCCTCAATTCTCGGCAGATTTCGTTCGCGACTTCGCGTTCATTCCCATCAGTGGAGCTTCATGGACGGGCAGGAATGGCTGGATCACGGAGACTTGATCATTTGTTCACGGCTTTATGTGTGTTTCTGTGCTGTAGAGCTTCGGTGGACGGAGGAAAGAGAGGAAACTCGGAAAAATGCAACTACAAGGTAAAGAGAAAGACGCTTTTCATCCGTAAAACACGTCGCGTGCGATACTACTGTCAGAGACACGGGCAAGTAGAGTCATGTCATGTTACTTACCTCAGAACATTTAAAGCTATTAATAATTGAGTTTGAGCTTTAAACAAGAGCATTCAACTACTATGATGAATTATTGATCAATAGTGTTCGGTTTTGTGTTGTGTGGAAGTGAAACTACACTTATCTGATAGGCTACTACCTTTAATTGTAAGGCAGATGTTGTGTGTTTGTTGAGGTGTACTCTCTAACATGATAAGGGTCTAAAGACTGAAGGTTTTGAACTGGGTTTTTTGCTAGTTTTGTTTGACATGTTACAACCAGTCTGACACTAAGTTGCTAGTCTGAGATGGTCTACTAACTAAAACCAAAACTATAACTTCAACATGGATGTCTGTTTACTCTCTAGTTCTCCAGAAAACCATTAAACAGAGAACCTGAAGAAACTGTTACACAACTTAAGAAGCATACAGCCAATACAAGCTAAAGTACCTTTATTTTTAAGAGTGCACCTGCATGTTTTTAAAGTTAACTTGTTCTTCACTTTGGAAGTCTTGAGCAAACAGTGTTCATCCGGCCAGGAGCATTGAGCTTTGGGAAATGGCCTTTTAGGAGGTCAGATGTGTGAATGAGTCTCTCGGGAAGGTCTATTGTTGCTGGAGTTGACCTGTTGATGCTTTTGTGAATGGAGTTGAATGGAGCTTGTAGACTGGAGATCACTATGGGAAGATGGAAATGAAAAGGCTTTACAGATTTTCATTTGAATTAACTTCCTTTAAGTCCAAAACATGCTCTGAACAACAGAAAACTGCCTTATGTAACACAGGAAGCCACAATGTGCACTTTAATGGTTTAATCTTTTGGATTTAATAGACATTAACACAGCTGCTTCATTAATGAAAATACAATGTGCAATACATACAGTAGATGCAACTGTTTTGCATGAGCAGATGTTTACTTATGACTTTTATGAGGTGTTTAAAGCACTATTTTGAGGATTTGAAATGTTGTCTTGCTGATTATGTTTTTATTTTAGACAAGTCACTAATATGCAATTTCAATTTTTAAAGACCATGTGATTGTGAAGTAAGAAATGTGACGATAGATGGTTCAAAAAATGAATATGGCTGTAATACGAGACTCCACACGTCCATGTTGTGTCAGTAGTGTGTGTCTTTGGCCTTTCTTCCTGTTGTTGGGCCGTGTCTGGGTAGTTAGCTGATGACAGACGGGCTATTGACGGACAGATTGCCCTCAATCTCATTGTCTTATAGGGCCAGCGCTGCTTTGAACTCATTTCCCATAGGAAGTGTGTGCTCTATTAAAATTCTTTGGCATTTCCTTTTAGGAAGCACAGATCACCTCCCTCCACTACATCAAAGCCGTCCTGTTGAGAGAAACACTTCAGGTGTAAATGACTTGTGTGTTCTTGTGGGCCGTTATGACGCCTGGGCTGAGACATGGTTGAACTTCTTACTTTTTATATGCGACAGACTTCATTAAGACACGCTCACAGTAAATGAACAATTGTGAAAATGTCCTTTGTTATGTGCAAAAGTAATTTGTACATAAAGAAGTTGTACTTTTCTGTGTTTTAAATGATCTTTAACACTATAGCCCGACCGATAAAGGATTTTGAAGGCCGATACCGATACAAATATTTTTGGGTTTTAAAATCCGATATATCGGCCGATATTTTTTTAAAATTAAATATTGTTGGATTTCACACACGTGTAAAAGAAAAGCTAACTTTTCTGCACAAGATACGTTTGATACTTTTTCTCTATGTCTAAATGTTCACTCCTCGCAAGTATAACTTACATTTTACAATGCAGGGACTGTAACTAGAGATATGCTAGTTATAAATACAGTAATAATTACTTTATTTAGGCAGAAAAAGTTCATTGTGGTTTCCAAGCTCATTAATGTTAACGTTAGCGGTCTTCCACTGATGATAGTGGCGTTAGCTAGCTTTGTGGTTAGCTAGTCTATGATGAGCCATAATTTAGCAATAGATAACATCATACTGCAAATTTTAAAACATACATTTTCAATATAACAGGTCAAGGAGAGATGATTAAAGCGAGTTTCGCCCGTTTTTATTTTATTTTTTAAATATATATTTATCGGCCATTATAACTGCCGATACCGATATTATGGAAAATGCCTAATATATCGGTCTGGCTCTACTATTTTGCTCTATTGCTCATATGGCTTAGTTTGCTGAGATCTGAGAATTGGTTAACAAATCATACTGAACGATTCCTTTGTGAATCGTATTGATCTGATTGCAGCTGATGCACTGATTTGATCAAAGATGAGCCTATAGTATTTCTGTTTTTGGGTGAGTGAACTAACCCTTTTATTTCTTCATGCTTTAATGCTAGTTCACACTGATAACTATAGCCATAATAACTATTAGCGTCCACACTAGCGGATGATATTGTTCTGTTAATTATAACACGCTGCAGTTTTGTCCTCTAAATGGTCAAGGATGTATTCTGATTGGCTGTCAAGGTTTTTATCATTCATCAACTGGAACAAAACATTTTGAAAGTGATTCTAACTATATTGTTCGTCTGTGCCTTTATCATTATATTTGTGGTGTGAACACATAAAAAACGTGACATGGGTCATTAAACAATAACCTAGAAATGTATGTTTTGCATGCTAGCACCACTCACATTTTCATGAATCATAAGTGTATATTTAAAGGAGTAGTTCACTTTAAAAAAAACTTTTGCTGATAATTTACTCACCCCCACGTCATCCAAGATGTCCATGTCTTTCTTTCTTCAGTCGAAAATAAATCAAGGTTTTTGATGAAAACATTCCAGGATTTTTCTTTATATAATGGACTTGAAAGGGGTCCAAACGGTTCAAGGTCCAAAAGACAGTTCAAACTCAAAATGAACGAACCTTTTTCCGAGTCAATTCGTTCGTTTTGTTCGTTGAATGGACCAAATGACTCAGAAAAAGATTTGTTCATTTTGATTGAACAGGAGAGTCACGAACGCGCATCACAGAACAGGGCAAGGCGAGCATTTGAGCTTATAAAACGTACTTTTTTTTTTTAAATGAGCGATCGTTTCGCTTGATAAGACCCTTATTCATCGTCTAGAATCGTTTAAAGCATTTTGAACAGTTTGCACAGAAACTCTCATTTGGACCCCATTGAAGTCCATTATATGGAGAAAAATCCTGGAATGTTTTCATCAAAAACCTTCATTTCTTTTCGACTGAAGAAAGAAAGACGTGGACATCTTTCTTGGATGATATAGGGGTGAGTAAATCATCAGCAAAGTTTGTTTTTTAAATTTAACTACTCCTTTAAGATGCAAAAAATGTGATTGTCTCTGTAGAGTTTTACAGTTTCTGTCTTTGCATTGATTCGTGTTTGACCGCCTGGCCGCCACCCAGATCAGGTTAAGACTCAGGAAAAACAAAGAAAGATATTTCAATTGGCCTCTGAGCTTTGCCGGCTCCAGCCGAGGGGCCAGGAGGCTCAATTGGATCTCCAATGGGGGCCTGTTGGACTCGGATTAAAGTGGTTGTTCTCTCCGGAAGTCCCAGGCCTCTCGGCTCAATAGCATCCATGCCTTCAGCTTTCCAATGAGCTCTGTGAGAAATCCCGCTGCCAGAGAGTCGTCTAAGGCTGACTTTCCTTCTCAGTGGCTGACCTCGAGCCCTGTATCTCTGTTAAAGAAATAACAGGATTCATTACGGGACAGATATTACTGCAAAAGTCCCGTCCCCGTCCATCTGGCGAAGTTGTGCTCTCTGAATGTACCGAGGGTGATGTAGCCAAACCTCACAGACTTCAGCGAGCATCTTGAAACTGTTTCTGGGGGTGCGACGCGGCAGGCGATTAGCGTACAAACCTCAAATGTGCGTTCAAGGGAATCACCATGAGTAATATTCAACTTGCAACTACATATAGCTCACTATTCATTCGCCACTCAAGTAATCATTAGTCTTTTTTTACTCGCCATAATGTGGATAATAGTATGAATATTTATAAGTCTCTTTGAATAAATGCATCTGCTAAATGCATACAGGTGAAACTCGTGCAAAAGTTCATTTTATTTCAGTAATTCAACTAAAAGGTGAAACTAATATATTAAACAGACTCATTACATGCAAAGTGAGATATTTCAAGCCTTTATTTGTTATAATTTTGATGATTATGCCATTTAAGCCATAATCAAAACTATAACAAATAAAGGCTTGAAATATCTCACTTTGCATGTTGAATTACTGAAATAAATTAACTTTTGTACGATATTCGAATTTTTCGAGTTTCACCTGGAAATGAGTGACTGATGTTATGATGTTATTTTTACCCTCGAATGGAAGCAGTCGGATGAGAAATGTTTATAAACCAGAAGGACTCTCATTGGTGGTCTTGACAACTGATCTATATCTGGCGTTTGGTTACGGCTCAGAAAAATGAACAAGGATTGACCTGAAATCACCCAGCTACACTCTAATATACTCGAAGTATAAAACAAAAGCATAAAGTCTTTGTTTTACCTTACATAAGCAGAATCCCGGCCAAGACCTTTCTTTATGACCGTGGTCCGGGGATCTAATAAGTGCATGAGTGCATATATGGGCTGCTTTTTTTCATTTCTGTGTGTTTTTCAAAAGAGCCCTCACACACTTTGGGTCCTTGTTCTGGTAACATCTGTTTGAGGATGAATGATGGGGAAGGGGGTGTGTTTGAGAGAAGGGGGGTGAGATCTGAGTTATTTCTGTGCCATCTTAAGGGTGCATTGAAAACCATCCAAGCAGCTCGTCACCTTGGAGGCTGTGTCTTGTGTTGCGCTGGGAAAATCCCTGGTTGGCTAGCTCTGAATCGGCCCGGTTCGCTGAACCGCTTTGAATTCTGGGATGGAGGTCTTTGAGTAGCGACACTTCTTTTGACCGGACGAGTGCTCCTGCCGCTCGGCCTGAATGGCAGGATGTCG